CGGCACCCAACAAATTGAAGGTTAATAGTTCCAAGTCCGTTGATCTAAATGGAATCCTAATTTGATTTCATTAATTCTCAAACATATCTCTAGCGTTCAATAAAACAATAGCAATTATGCTAAGAAGCTAATACATGATTCACTTCTCAGTCTCATCATGCTCAACAAACAATTTCAATAAAAACAAGAGTAATTACACAATCCATGTAATAGAATGTAAAAGCAACATCAATCTATTGATCAAACATTAAAATACCAATTACATCAAAACCCTAACCCAAAAGTGAGTTAGTTCATACTAAAATTAAAACAAATCAAAATAAAAGCTGTAAGCAAGGCATTCAACAAGTTGGAATAATGAAAAGAGAGTGAATCTTCCCTATTTGATGAACCCAAAGAGTTTCAATCTCCAATCTTTTCTTCTTCTCCCAAAAACAACGTCGAAAACCAACTCTAAAATGAATAAGTCCTCTTTATATAGTCTGTCCAAAAAAACCCTAAGACTCCGCAATAAATTAAAACGCACAGTTTTAATAACTGAAATCTGCAGACTTCGTAGTGGCATCAAGTTGGCTTCTAATTCACTATCTGACCCGAGAGTTTATTGCTGCAGCAAAGTTCTTTCTTCGCCGTAGCGAAGTTGTCTAAACTATTTTGAAATTATGAAACTACCCTCCACTTGCTTCCTTGCTTGAATCTTCAATCTTTAGTGATCTCTAATAGGAACAAGCTTTATAGTGCTTCAAATTCGCTTCAGAACTTCCCCAAATCCTGAGATTCGCTTACTTCCGGGTCTGGAAACTCAATTCCGCTCAGTATTTGCTCTAACTGCACATTTTTGGCCTGAAACATAAAATATATGAAATTAAGTTGCAATTCAGGCACAAACGAAAGAAGAAGTATCCAAAATCTGGCCAAAAAGCCTAGATAAAAGAGTATAATCCTAGGATTATCAGTGGCCATTCTAGAAATGTCCATAGCCCCAATATTATTTTGAAGAAACGGCACAAATAATACAGTAAGACTTTCATAGTGTTGAACGATCCTATCGAAAAGCAGTGACTGATCTCACTTGTCAAGGTTGTTTGGTGACAATCTAGTGCAACACATGGGTACTTGCTATAGGCAAGTTCACTGGACTGACCCACCAGAGGATTCCATATGGATGGTAACCCCAGTGTCCATGGAAAAAATCCTCTAACGAATGGTGGTGCATGTGATCCTTAGTCTTGAGGTCACCGGAGTGCCTTGTACACCGATTGGTGTAGTTTGACACTAGCCCAACGTACTTCTATTCAGAGCTATAATTATGGTAGTGACTGGCTGCATCAAGGAGTGTATCAAGACTATGGTGGATTGACAAAGGATTCATCATTCCCGGGTATGGGAGAAGTTATCTCACAGCGTAATTCAAAAAATGGCAATGACACTAAAACTGTGGCCACAGTGGGATTGAGTTGTTGCTCAATCCAATTTATTATTTGGGTCATTGGTCCAGTAACTGAATACATACATATCGAGAGTAACTAAGGTTGACACTATTACTATGCCTCGATCTCGATGAGATAACAGATGATAAAATAATTGAATTTTACGGTAACCATATTGTTGACAAGTAGCTACTTCGCTGAATCCGAATCTATCGGGTGGCCATGATGCCTTGCTAGGGGCCAATCTTGGTCTGTGTGTAGTGAGACGATTAATTGGTATTAATCGCGATACTACACACTGCTGGTATGATGGGGAGCCTACAGGTCACACACATAAAAGATAATTTAAGAATCAGATTGTGTAAAGGACGTTTTCATCTTTTTAGGCAAAAAGGTATTTTGGTAATCTCACAGTGTAATTAAATTTGCTGAGGTTGTTGCCTTCATTTAATTTGATATTAAAATTAAATAAGTGAGATTATATTCAAATATGTGTATGCATATATTTAAATGAATTATTTTTATTGTTAAATGTTAATATATTTTCTATATATGATTTTAATTTAATTGAAATGATAATAATTAAAATAAAAATATCTAAATGGGGCTATTTGGACATAAGGGCTGTTTGGGTTGTTGCCTAAGCCGATTCCTAAGTGGAACAGGGTTTCACATGCACTATATAAGTGCATGTGTTCTATGAATTGAATAATACTTTTCATTTTAAGTCATTTTATATTATTCATTGAAAAGCTCTAGCCCCCTCTCACTATTCACGCCACTTTACTTTTGTTGAATCAAATTTATTTGATTCTTGTTCTTGGTTTTTGAGGCTAAAGAGGATCTAGAAAATCCTTCTTTAGTTCTTTAGGTTATCTTCGTTTGGACTACCGCTGGTTCGATTCTACTTTGAATCGGTAGCGAACCCAGTTAGAGACAAGTTTGAAGGAGCCTCCAAACGTGCGTATGAACTCTAATCTTTATTCTGATTGTTCATATTACTGCAGAATATTTGATTTAACATATTATCTATAATATCTGTATCTTGATCTTGGCTTAAAATGGAATCGATCACTGTTTTATTTTTGTTTTCTGCTGCCATTGGGTTAGATTGTTTCCTAACAAAATTTACCTCCTAATATTCTTAATAAAGGAAGAAATATAGGACACTTGAAAGATTGGAACTAAAAAGCTTGAAATTTCAATGGAGGAAATAGAATTAATGGAGAAGTATTGAAGAAGATGATGGAACAGTGTAGAAATATTGAAGAAGATGATGGAAAGTGGAAGAATACATGTGTTGGCCGACTTATACAAACTAAAGTTTAGAATTTTTTTTTTTTTTTTTTTTTTTTTTTATGCAAAATCATTCATTTATCTTTTGCATTTAATGACTTATACATTATTTTCCTTTTTTCCCTTAACAATTTTCTTTTAATTACTCCTTAATCCTTTGCCATCTTTACCTTGTCAAGCCAACAAATATCATCATTCTTTTACTACTTTACCCCTAAGCATGTGCATGGTAGTTAACTTAGCACATAAAATAAGACTATTTTACCCTTGGACGTACTGTGGGGTTTCATTTCTCCCCTCCTTATAGGAATTTCGTCCTTGAAATTAAGCAAATAAGTCTTGGTAGCAGTCTCTCATGTCTTGTTCCACTTCCCAAGTAGCTTCTTAAACCTTGTGATTTCTCCAAAGAACTTTGACGAGTGGAATACTTTTATTCCAGAGCTCTTTAATCTTTTTATCCAATATTTGGACTGGACGCTCCTCATAAATCAAATTCTCGTTCAGTTTCACTTCCTTTACTCATAATACATGAGAAGGATCATTTATGTACTTGCGTAACAATAACACATGAAAAACATTATGCCCTTGTTCCATGCTTGATGGTAATGCAAGTTTGTAAGCTACTTTTCCAATCCTTTCTAGCACTTCAAAAGGACCAATGTACCGTGGAGCAAGCTTTCTGTTTTTGCCAAATCTCATGACATCTTTGTATGGGGCAATCTTAATAAACACTTTGTCCTCTACTTGAAATTCCATTTCCTTCCTCTTCAAGTTTGCATAACTCTTTTGGCGATCCTGGGCTTGTTTCATTCTCTCTTTGATTAACCTTATATCTTCAATCATCTTTTAAGTAATCTTTGGTCCTAAAGCTTGAACCAAAGACTCCTTCTCTCCTACTTCATCCCAATACAAAGGTGATCTACACTTTCTCCCATATAGAGCTTCATATGGTGCCATCTGGATATTAGTATGATAACTGTTATTATAGGAAAATTCCATTAATGGAATTATATCACTCCAATTTGCTTTATGATCCACACAACAACCTCGTAACATATCTTCAATCACCTAATTGGTTCTCTCAATTTGACCATTTGTTTGGGGATGATAGCTGTACTAAAAGCTAGCCTTGTACCTAGTGCCGTTTGTAACCCATGCCAGAAGGTTGAAACAAATCTTGAATCTCTATCTGACACTATTGTCTTGGGCACACCATGCAACCTCACAATTTCTTTTACATAAATCTAACCCAACTGATCTGAAGTAGTTGTATCATTCACTGGTATGAAGTGTGCTAACGTAGTTAGTCTATCCACAATAACCTATAGTGCATTATACCATTTTTGTACTCTTGGAAGGGCAACCATAAAATCCATAGATATGTCTTCCCATTTCCATTTATGAATACTAAGATGCTATATTAATTTTGATGGTCATTGGTGTTTAGCTTTAACTTGCTCACAAATTAAACATTTACCCATATAATCACTGATATCTTTCTTCATACTTGACCACCAGTAGCTTTTCTTTAAATCATGGTACATCTTTACACTCCAAGGTGTGTTGTACAAAGTGTATCGTGTGCTTCTCTAAGAATTTTACTCTTCAACTCTACATCTTGAGGAACACATAACCTATCTCAAAATTTCAGAATACCATTCACTACTCTAAAAGCTGTCTCTTTTCCCTCATTTACTTGCTGATGGATTTCCTTGCAAGAATCATCAACTACTTGTTTTTCTTTGATCTCCTATATTAAAGTAGATTTGATTTCCAATCTAGCACATCCTCTAATTACAACCTCAATTTGCTCTTTGAGGATTTCTCATTGCAACTCTTTTTATACTATGATTTGGAATAGAGGAATTTTCTGACTTAAGCCATCTGCTACTACATTAGTTTTCCCTAGATGGTACTTGATTTAACAGTCATAGTCTTTGACTAACTCTAACCATCTTATCTGCCTCATATTCAACTCTTTCTGTCTGAAGAAATACTTTAAACTCTTATGGTCTGTGTAAATATTGCTCTCGACACTATATAGATAATGACGCCAAATTTTGAAGGCAAACACCACTGTTGCCAATTCCAAATCATGTGTAAGGTAGCTCAATTCATAATCTTTCAGTTGTTTAGAGGCATAGGCTATCACCTTCCCATTTTGCATAAATACTGCCCCAAGACGACTATGTAAGCATCGATATAAATGTCATAATCAAGACCCTCCTCGGGCAAAGCTAAAATGGGAGTTGTGGTCAATCTCCTCTTTAACTCCTAGAAACTCTGCTCACATATATATGTCCACTGAAATTGAGTCTCCTTCTTGGTAAGTAGAGTGAATGGAAGAGCAAGTTTAGCAAACCCTTGCACAATTTTTCTGTAATACCCAGTCAAGCCTAGAAAACTCTCCTCCTTCATTGTTGTTGGCCTTTTCCATTCAAGTACTGCCTCTACCATATTAGGATCCATTGATATGCATTCCTTGGAAACCACATGACCAAGAAACGTTACTCGATCCAACCAAAACTCACATTTGGAGAACTTGGCATACAATTGCTTCTCCCTTAATCCTTGCAATACAAACCTCAAATGTTGTTCATGCTCTTCATTTGTTTTGGAGTATATCATCTATAAACACCACAAGAAACTTATCTCGGTAATCATGGAAGCCCTATTCATTAAGTCCATAAATACTACTGGTGCATAGGTCAACCCAAAAGGCATCACAACAAACTCATAGCGTCCATACGTAGTTCGGAAGGCAGTTTTCTGAATGTCATTCTTTGCAATTTTGACTTGATGGTAGGCCGACCTCAAATCAATTTTAGAGAACACTGAAGCATCTCTTAGTTGATCAAATTAGTCAGCTATACAAGGCAATGAATATTTATTCTTCATTGTCACCTTATTTAACTCCCAAGAATCAATGCACATCCAGAGGGATCCATCATTCTTCTTGACAAACAGAATTGGAGCACCCATGGTGAATGACTCAATTTGATTAAACCTTTATCTAATAACTCTTGAAGTTTCTTCTTTAACTCTTGGAGTTCTGTTGGAGCCATTCTGTATGGAGCTTTTGAAATTGGTGCGATACTCGAGTTGAATTCTATAAAACATTCTACTTCCCTTTTTGGAGGCACACCTGGTAATTCATCTGGAAATACATCCGTAAATTCATGAACTATGAGCACATCATACACACTAGGACTTAGAGTCTTCGCCTTATTCACTACATTAGCTATATACCCCATACATTCTTTTCTCAACATCTTTCTTGCTTTGATGGCAATTATCATACCACTAAGTACATGACCCTCTCAAAATTAAACTTATCCCCATTATTTAAATTAAATCTGACCATTTTTTGTGATAGTTTATCTCTGCCTCATACCTACCTAGGAAATCCATGCATAGGACAACATCAAAATCAGGTATATAAAAAACAATCAAGTCAACTTCTAACTCTCGCCCATCAATAACTATTGTTTCCCTTGAAAGAACCTCTTTTCCCATCTAGCAACTCTATCTTTAAGACTGGTTCCACTTTATTAGGCTTTAATCCTAATCTTTCAACAACTCTATAGGAAATGAGGGAGTGGGTGGCTCTTGAGTCAATTAAAGCATATAATGGGACATAGTGCAAATATAACTGACCATTGACTACTAATGGGTTGGCTTTTGCCTGGCTTTGGGAGACAGTGAATAATCTGGCATCAGTTTCTCCAATTGTCTAAGTTACCGGGGGACGAGGGTTTCGACATTCTCTTGCCAAATTCCCTGGTTGTTTGCATTTGAAGCACACATTTTTCCCCATTAAACATTCCCTTTTATGTTGCTTGCCACATTTTCTTTGGCAAGATAGATTATTCTTCTTCTGTTGTTGCCTTTTACCCTTCCAATTCTTCTTATTTACTCGAGGCTAAAAGTTCTTCTTGTTCTTACTATCTTTGGCTTCATCACTACTCTTTTGTGGCTCTGAAAGAGGATTATTTGCTACAACCACTGGTTTGGATAGCTGAACAACTCTATTGACATACACTTCTGCCCGCAGTGCTCGATTCAAGGTTTCACCCTACATCTAAGGAGGTTGAGCACCTGCCATAACATCTCAGGCTATCTAGGGGTGTAACCCATTTATAAATCTTTCCATTCTCGCCAGAGGAGTACTAACCATAACAGGAGCAAATCAAGCTAATGAGTTGAATATAGTAGAATACTCCTTAACTGTCTTACTCCCTTGCTGTAGATTCATAAACTCTTGAGTCTTAACAGAAAACATATCTGTTGTCTTGCACTTTACGTCAAACCACATTTTAAAATCAACCTAAGTAAGAGTGGCAATATTGTGAGTATGTTCCATTAATTCCCACCAAATTTTGGCATCACCCCTAGCAAATAAGTGGCATATCAAATCTTTTCTTGATCTATCATCGTAAACAATACTACTACCCTCTCTACTGCTTTTATCCATTCTTTAGCTACTGATGGATCGGTAGTGCCACTGAGTTTATGTTGCCGGTGCTTGCTTGGGAGCCCATAAATAGGTTCCAGCTGTGCTTAAGAAGTGGTGGGTGTTGATGAGCTAGGGTGCTTGCTTGGGAGCTCATAAATAGGTTCCAACTCACTCATGCACCTTGATTTAGAGGTTGTACAATCGTATTCTGATTTCCTAAGGCCTCCCTTATTGCCGCCTGGATCATATCCCCCACTGTGGCAACATCAAATCCTGTTGTAACATTTGGATTGGTACCTACAAGTGGAGTTAGATTCCGCTTACCTCACCTGGATCTAGTTTCTCGACTTATCCTGACACTTATAAAGACAAAAGAAATCATCATATTATGTTAGTTCATCAACTTAAACTTAAACTTAAACAATAACTTATAGCGGTTAACTTGCAAGGGTGTGTCAACATAGCCTGAGGGACATGTGAAAAACTTCATAAAATAACAATCTAGTTTCATATAATAGAAAACATCTCTTAAGTGCTAGAACCATGCTCTGATACCAATTGTAACACTGTCCTCTAGCCGGGTACCCTCTAAGTATTCCATTACGATGGAATCTTAGAGAATTCACACTTGGAAGGTTGTGTAATTTAAAACGTAAATCCTAGTTACAAACATATACGATATGAAAATAAATAAATAAAAACTTCTCCTCTCATGTACATTACTTTCTTAATCAATCTATCGAAATATGACTATATATGAAAAATATGGTTTAAAGAAAACAACTACATCAATTGTTTAATAGCGGAAGCAAATATAAAATATCTCTCATCATTTATAAGCAAAACATATTCATTATTTCATAAAATTAGATTATAGACATCAAACTATTTACATTAATTCAAAAACAACATCCTTTATATAACATAATAAGTTTAACTAAAACAAAAGTTAACATGCATGCTCCAAGCTTCCTTGACTGCCACTCACCATTACCGCTTCAACCATTTCCTGCAAAACATGGAAACTAGGGAAATGACTGCTAATCACTTAGCAAGGGTATCAATCATATAACCCTATGTAACATTCTTACACTTGGAAAACATCTTATTTACTTGTACATGAACCAAACATTAACAACATAAAATAACATAAATGTAATAAAACATAGCATATTCAGTTCATATCATATTGCATAATATAATTCATGTAATGCTTTCTTTTAATGTTCATGAATGATGCACTTCAATGCCATGCATGTATAAATACATGTTTCTTTGAAAACTTTTTACTGTCCGCTGATCAGACTAAGCTAGGCATGAATTACAGAACCTTTGGCCAATGAGCTAGCCTTAACTTATAACATGGTCCCCACGGTCATGTACGCTATGGACTGTTCATTTCTTTTGGTCTAGACATGTGCATTAGTGAGCTCAGATTCCCCATAACATGCCAACAGCTTCCATAAAACTTAAAAATCATTTTCTTCACAAAAATGCATGTCTATGTACCTTGAAAGCATTTTACTCAAACTTGGGATCACGTTAATCACCGCGTCCGCCCCCCCCTTTCCCTTTTTCATTATTAATATGCTTGACATGCTTTATTCTTTAAAAACATACACTTTCCATATATGAACATATCATTTCATCATGACCGTTTTGTGGATGCATAATTAATTCATAGAAACATATCATATTTAGGCTTATTTATCATAAAGAAGCTCATAATTAGGTAATACATAACATATTACACATGACCTCCATGGTCATTCATTACATCAAATATATATTGTTTATACAATCATTAAATAATCACAAAGATAACTCATTCAAACATGCTTCAAAACCCTTTAAGCATTATTTCCATACTTGGAATCAATCATAGATTATTAGGCTAAAAATAAATTAAGAAATTGGAAGCACTTTTGAGGTAGTTATGTTATGCATATCTGTAACAACTTCTTTCAACTACCATATTCATAATATATATATTAATAAAAAAAAACAGCATATTTATCAAAACAGTTGGGCCCAAAAATTTTTCTTTACTTAATAATTACTTTCTTTACAAAGTACAACATCATTTGTACAAAAGACTCTCAAAGACGAAAACAATGGACAGTGCAGCCAAGTCTCCCCGCTTGCCGACGTCCATTCGACCAGGTCCTCACCTATGTCCTGTACAACAAAGAAAACAACGGAGTGAGCACAAAGATGCCCAGTAAGTAAAATCTCCTACTCTATAATCCCCGTGCATTACTCATCAATTCTTTTCGTACTCTTGTCATTTTTTTCCTAATTCAAAAATCTCATTTTCTTTCTTTTCCTTTCTTTCTATTCTTTTCTTTTTCTCATTCTCATTCTGCCTTCTCATGGCAGAGACCGCTCTCTCTCATAGCGGTTTACATGCGTTCTGCTCTCTCATGGCGGGGACCACTCTTTCTCATAACGGTTTACATGCATCCCGCTCTCTCATGGCGGAGACCGCTCTTTCTCATAACGGTTTACATGCATTCCGCTCTCTCATGGCGGAGACCGCTCTTTCTCATAACGATTTACATGCATTCCGCTCTCTCATGGCAGAGACCGCTCTTTCTCATAACGGTTTACATGCATTCTGCTCTCTCATGGCGGAGACCGCTCTTTCTCATAACGGTTTACATGCATTCCGCTCTCTCATGGCGGAGACCGCTCTTTCTCACAATGGTTTACATGAGGATAACTCTACACTCACGAGTTCCCCGTCGCACAACCTATTTTCTTTTCTTTTCTGTAGCACTTTGTAACCATCTTATCCTCTAGTGCTAGTTCTTTCTTTCTCTTTACTCTAAGAGAATTGGTTCTTTTCTTTATCTCTATTCATAGAGTGTTTCTTTCTCATTTCTCATATTTCTTTCTCATGTGATTACTCAATTAAACATATGCATATGGATGGCTCATGCCTAAAATCTTTCTTATATGCATTCATGGCATGCAAATATGCTATGTTGCATAAAGTAAGGCTCTCTACTTCTACTCATGCTTCTTTTAGGCATTTCGTCAAACAATGTGTGTGCATACATAAACATTATTCTAACTTTAATTATACTTCTTTCTTAACCATCCAAAATTGGAGTTTAAATCCTTCAAATTATCACACATCCTACAAAGAAAACACACTTCAAATATTCCTCTCAAGTCCTTCTAATTCTATCCATACTTCTACCAAAATTTATCAACACAATCCACCCTTCTCATGGTGGAAATTTCTTCATAAATCAACATTAAACCCATTCATTCATTCATCAACTCATTTCAAACATAAAAATCCAAACATCAATCATATATATGGTCTCTACACATCATTCAATCAAGCAAATCACAACTTAGGGGGATTTACTTACCTTAGACACAAGTAGAATCCACTTAATCTCTATACTCTTGATGGATTGATACTTTCTCTTAAACCTTCAATACAAAACTCAATAAGGATCCTACTCTTTCAACAATAAAAATTACCTCTAGAGTAAGGATTCTCACCTTTTAG